CAAGCTTTTCAGTTGGCAGCTATGATGGTGGAACAACTAAAACCGGAATTAGCCAAAAATGAAGAGAATACAATTCGGCCAACAAGATGAGCTGTAAATGCTTAACAGATTTGCTGGAGTAAATGGACTGCAAGTACTGAAAAAGCTGAGCTGAACCTGATATTGTGAACGTTTTAAGGCACTATATGTACAGCGAAGAGCTACTATTATTTTTGGTGGAAGAAACTGGCAATACTAAACCACATCTTATACACTATTTGAAAAGATGGTTCTGTAGTATTGCATTTCTTCCACCAAAATAATAGTAGCTTTTTGCTAGTTCTAGTTTTAGTTTTAGTTTTTTGTAGTTCTTTAGTAAAGGAAATAATTTTATTTAAAACCATGAGATATATATAGAAGCATTTAATGTGTAAAGGATTCTTTGTACGGTGAAATTGTTCTTTAGATTGATAGAGAATGTGTTGCATATTGTCGCTGTCCAAAGAAAAACAAGCATCTCAAAATAGTAACTTTACAGCAAAACACTCTTAACTTTCAATGTTAATTAATGTAAAGAGGTTTTATTCCAAGTGATTTTAGAGCATTTCTATTGGTCAATTTATCATTACAGACAACAATAAATGACAGCTGGTGTGTTGAAATGATGTGGAAAAATAAGAATCGACAAAAAGTGATGATATGGTTCTATATAAAAGCTTTTTGAAAATGGTTCTATATCTATCTATCTATCTATCTATCTATCTATATCTATATATATATATATATATATATATATATATATATATATATATATGTTCTTGAATAATACCACAGCTGTGATGATCTATAGTGTTTGCCTCCAGCTCATGCCTGCGACCAAATTACAGTTGTTGTGTTATTTGCAATAACACATTCCCTCTCATGTTCTGTTGCTTAACTACCAAACAAGTAGGGAATATGTTAATTTATGCCAGTTCATTTGGCTATTTATGGTAGATTATAACTAAACCTAATGAAGGACAATTAACAGAGAAAAACATTTAATAGAAGTCTGGACTACTCAGTTCTTGTTCATGCACAGTCCCTTAATTGGAAAAACCTTTTCGAAAGAGGACCACACTTCTGTAAAATAAGGTGGCATAATGGGCAGTGAAGAGTTGTTGTTAGAACAATTGTTAGAGCAGGAAAGTGGCAGAATGTACTCTTTGTTCTGTAGCAAAAAGTGACAGGATGCGGCTTCACAAGTGGCCTAGCTAGGGCTCACTCAATGGGGACCCAACAAACATGAGCAAACAAATAAGAGCACAGAGCATTTATTTATTTCTTTATCTAAAATAAAAACTGTAACCTTGGCACTCTGATAGCATGAATCTCACGATGGGTATGCTTCTCCAGGCCACACAGCAGAGGTCACAAATTTTATCCACAGTGCCGATGTGGTTGCAAGTTTTAATTCCAATCACGCAGATGCACAGCTGGTTTCACTTGTTTAATCAGTTAGTCTCAGTCTTCCAGCAATTGATTAGTTATAGGTGGTTGGTTGGAATAAAACCCTGCAGTCACACTGGCCCTGTGTGAATAAGACTGGTGACCCCTGGCCTAGAGTCAAGATCATAGAAGGAACTCTCCTCTAAATGGCATAGTCGACATAATCTCATAGTCATTCGAAATGAGCAATGTTCCTTACTTCATGCAAGGATGATGGTCTGGTAAGATACTGCATGCTGTCAGAGAAACGAGGCTACTTTTTTAAGCTATGGCTTTCTTTAAAGAATTCTTTTGACTATCTCAATGTAGGATATATCAACTTGTATCTCAATGTGGAATATATCAACTATATCAAATTCCATTTCTAAGACCAAATATTTCCATGTAAATTAATGTGACTAAAGCAATTTATGACCTGTGAGCCTTTGCTAAACAGTATGTGCTACTGCATATATTTCCTGTACAGAAAAGTCCCAAAAAAGTCCTAGAAAGTTGTCATTTATAGGGTAGACAGCAGCTGAAGGCTGCAGGGCTTTGCTGGTGCAAGATAAAGCAATAGCACCCACTGTGCAGTAGAACAGGACTTGTTTAGCAGTGGCCTTAAAAATTAGTTTTGTCAAAAACATGAGCTGATTAGCTTTTCTAAACCCTCCTGTCCTGTTAATGTGAACATGCAGTGCCAGGCACAGTGAACTACTTGCTGTGTCTGAGTTGCACACACTGGGAAACAGCAAGCTGTGAATTCATAAGAAAACCTGTCTTGGACAAATGAATAACTACATTTGAGATAACTACAGGAGCATATAGGTAGCACCAAGAGTGTATGAATATCACCTAGATACAGGGTGGGAAGGTGTAGTCGTTTATTTAAAGTGACATATAAGGGTGTGTTGTCCCATCAAACCCTACATCAAAAGCAGAGAGAGAAGATAGCACTTCAGAATTCACATACAGAATCAGAATATTATGTTTTTACAGTCCTCAAATGGTGATGGCCATTTATCAGCATAGTGTCCAAGTATATCAGGCAGACATACTAAATTGCAGCTATGACATTAGTTAGGAGGTCATCAGCATTTAACTTTATGGACTAGGCCCAAAGTGCTATGTGTTCTGGGTGAAGATCAAAAATTGAGCCTGCAGGAGATCCCGCTGTAAGGGGAGGGGGTAACCATGGCTATGTGAAAAGCACCTGAATTAACTGCCCAACCCAGTTTGGAGCTATCAGGATTTGAGATAGACCCGCTTCTCTCACACTGGCACTAGTCAATGAAATCTGGGTGGAAATGCATAGAGGAGAGTAAGCGGCCACACATTGGCTAGGGCATGCACTCCCATTGGTGCATTGTTCAGGAGAGTAAAACAGAGGGCACTGAGCATTCTCCCACACAGTGAATAGATCTATGCCAGCTTTCCCAAAATACGCCCAAATTTGAATCGCCACCTCTTTGTACACTTCTCATTCCCCATAATGGGAATTTCCCTGTGACAATAGATCTGCCCTCCGTTTAGAACTCCAAGCATGTGAGTGGCATTCTGCAACCGAATTTGTGCTCTGCTCCACACAGCCTGTGCACCTGAGTTTCCAAATGACAGGACCACATCCTCCCTGTCAGAGTTATAGGCCACTACTGTGGTATTTTTTACCTGTGCAAGAATGTGATAGCCCTTCAAGAAGGGGAAAAAGTCAGGAGGATCAGTAGGAATTCCAAGTAATTTATGTGGGCAGGCCACAGGTGTGCTCTCTGTCCCATTCACTGACTTATCCTCCTGAGTACCATCCAAGCACATGAGCACTGCATCCAGTTTGAACACCCATTGCAATGCCCTGCACCAGAAAGCTTGGCTGCATCATACTGTCGTAATGGATGGAGAAACTGCCCGTTTTTCCTTTCAGCAGGGGGTGGGGTCGGCTGTTTTTTTCTTCGACAAGTGTCCAGGAGTTTTGGTTTTGCTGGAGGCCTCGTCTGTGGCATGGAAAACATCGACGTCTGGTGAGGAACAACACTGGGGCAGCCTGCTTGATTCAAATCCTCCTCCTAAGTGTCCAGTATCATAAGTTTATTTCTCGCAATCCATGGATAGGATACTTCTAACCTTAATCAATTCTCCCATTAGAACACAATCTCACGGTTCTTGTCCAAAGTGGGGAAGACTCCAAAAACAATGCCTCTCATGGCATAAAAAACAGCGACACTGCTTTGTAGGTTTTGCAGGATATTCAGTTCTATTGTGTAGTACAACAAATGGAAATTTGAACAACCAACAAACAAGGAGCCTCCATTTGACCTTTTTATGTGTCTCAGAATGAGATAATGTACTGAAAATGAACTGAAAGAAGCTCTGTGTTTTTTTTACAATGCATAAGGAACACGGCATAAAAACCAATTACGTTTACACTTGGCTCAGCTGCATCTCCAGTGCATATCAAACCAGATGCAGTTTGATAGCAATGTACTGCATCCAGTGCATCTTGTTTGCTGTTTCGTGATCCAGTAGTAATTGTTTCTACCCATTTAGCCTCAGCCCTTTAACCTTTCTATCTTGACTTGAATATGTTGAGTCTTGGCTGGTCCCCTATTAGATGAAATGGCTTTGACTACTGCTCCACTAATAAAAACTGTAAATTAGCGTATCTTAAGTAGGTTACATTGATTTAAAATTTCTGGTGTGATATCTCCCAAAATCATAAAGGTCCCAGACTTCAGACTTCATTCTGGTCCTCTTGTCTTTATCAATTCCAAGATTTTTCAGGACTTACCTGGAGCAATAGTGTCTACAAAGCAGCTGACAAGAGAAATAATGCTACCCTTTGATGTCAAGTCATGTCTAAGACTGTCGAGCTATAAAAGATAAAAAAGCGGTTCATCTCAAGACGTTGATTTAAGCCAATCATCTTGATTATGTTCACGGTCAAGTTAATAACCCTCATCTGGAGTGAGCTCTAGGCACACACTGAATGTACAGAGCCAGCTCCAGACTTAGGCTAAACATCCAAACCAAAAACATCAAGATTCAGCTGGACAAAGGCTTCAAACTGAACTCCTTCAAGTCTGCCATTGCCTTTCATTAATCCCATGACATTTGCCTGAGCACGGGACGAGTAAATTATAGGAAAAACATGGAAGGTGGAGGGAAATAGAGCTTTCCCCGAGGCTGCCTTTACTAATCTGTAATTTAATTTCAGGCGGTTGTCTGAGCCACAGGGATGTCCTCTGGTGTTGAAGAGTATACAAAGAGACATATTTGTGTTTAGATTTGGGATACAAACCAGGCACCAGGTCTTAGCCAGGAACTAAGAAATACAGCATATTTGTGTATACTTAGACCATGTTTGTCCTCACGAATTCCCAAGCCAAATGACAGTGGACCAAATAAAGCACACAAGCACTAGACGCTTAATGACAAAATCATTTTATCATTGCAATGCATGTTATAATAACTGACTGGCAAAATTCTTACATTCTTGGAATAACACATCAAATCATTTAGCACCGAACATATTCTAAATACCACAAGCAATTATCAAGCCTAGCATACAAAAAACCCAGTTCATAATATATTCCACCTTAAGTGTCTCACAATCCCACAGTCGACTCGGCGTTCATTAAAACCATTTCTCACCATAATGCTGTCGAGGCCAAAGAGAAACCAGGGTGTGTCCCATGCACCATTTGCAGTTTGTTCGAGCTTAGCTGGCATTCAATTGAAATTTCTCCCCAAAGTTATTGGATTTCTTGGGAGCAGGCAGACGCTGACAGGTACAAGTTAGTTCATGGGCAGGCCTTAATTAGTCCAGGCCAGTGCAGTGGTGGAGAAGCAAGGGTAAGAGAGAAAGAGGAGAGCCTCTCTTCACTCCAGACACTGACGGCTGCTTCTTCGCTGGCTCCTCTCTTAAGCTCTTCACTTTCTATTAGGTCTGAGATGTTACATGAGGCTCCACTCTGAATGCAGAATGGAGTGGAGCTGGTGTCAGTGGTGGAGCTGGAAGCTTGTCAAAGGCAATGGCCTTCAAACAGATTTTCTGTTTAGCACACTCTGCATACAATTACAGCCCCTGCTCCATACATTTCAGGCACTTGCCTCATAGTGATGGCGAGTGGAAGCGAACACTGCTGGGAGCAAGGCTGGGCTACTAGAATGGCTGAGGTTATTTCTGTCCATGCTGTTTAGAAAGGAAGGCGAATAGCATTCGGAATATAAAACAGGAAGCTAGACTGACAGCAGAAATGGACGAAAGAAGAATTGGTGGGCCTTGGCGGCACTAAATATGTGTTCTAATACCTGTGTCTTTACACATATGTGACATTTTCTTCTGTTTCTTATCAAGAAACCACAGCATGATGCTTAACATCAATATAAAATGTCTAAGATTTAAACTCTCTAGTGTCTTCTACCGTATGAGCTCAATTTACTGTTGGGTGTGTGATTCAAAGGAACGTAATAAGTTGCACTTTCAACATACAGTAAATGCACAGGTATTAAGAACACTGAGAATGCCCTACAAAGACTGTATGCTGAAAATCAAATGCGCCTCTTCTTGGATGGTGTGGTGCACTGGGGGTTTAAAGTGAGACTCCTTCTTTCATGCGTGGTTTCACCCTGCAACACAAAAAGGAGGAGACAGATCAGGTTAAATGAGAAAATGTTCTTTTATGGAGAGAATCTGATGGGTTCAGATTAAAGTAACACTTGAGTGCCTGTGTTTTTGCACTGAATGCAAGAATGTATAATAACCCTACAGGCCCAAGACGAGTGGAAAGCAGAAATCAGCAGATTGATAATCCTTTTGCTGAGGAGTCGCTCTGACACCTTGCTGACACTAAATGTTGAAAGGAGCAGAAAATATCACCATCTGATATATCTCTAAACAAATTGATGTGGTAGTGGAACTGAATACAGCCTTGTGGATGGCAGACCATGAGGATGAATATAAGATCTGCGTACAACATTTTAATACTGAATCAAGCACTGAATTTAGTTAATACTCATATTTTTTCTTTCTAAAAGGTTGTTGCCCAATGTTTGCAGATACAGACTAAACACTCAGAGCTGCCTCCAGCCACAAAGTAAATATCTACACTAGCTTTAGACACACATTCAGACTAGCCCTGGATGCAGACCAAACATCCAGATCCAGCTCTAGACATGGACTAAGCATCCAAAGCCAGTTCTAGACAGAGAGTAAACATCTAGTCCATCTCTAGACAAAGACTTCACATCCATATCCAGTTCTAGACACAGACTGAAAATCTAGAACAACTCTAGACACAGACTAAACATTCAGACTACCTCTAAATACATACTAAACATCCAGATCTAGGTCTAGACACAGCGCAAACATCTAGGCCAGCTCTAGAAACAGACTAAACATCCAGAATCAGCTCTAGAAACAGACTGAATTTCCACAGCCAGTTCCAGACACCAAACTTAATGTCCAAATGCAACTCTATACATTGTCTAAACATCCAGAGCCAGATTTAGACATCAGACCAAATATCCAGAGTCAGATTAAACATTAAGTGCCAGTTCTAGACACATATTAAGCATTCAGAGTCAGCTCTAGACACAAGATTAAACATTCACTCAAGACATGGACTGAACAACCAGAGCCAACTCTAAACAAACACACATCACTCACCTAGAACCAACTCTAAACACTGAATTACCATCCGGACACAATTCTGGACACAGTCCAAACATCAAGAGCTGGATTTAGAAACAGTCTAATCATCCAGAGCCGCACATTACACATTAAGAACAAGTTCTAGACATAGCCTAAACGTCTAGAGTCAGATTTAGACACAGACTCAACAGTTTTATATGCGGACTAAACATCCAAAGCCAGCTTTATAAGCAGACTAAACATCCAGAGCCAACTCTATATGCAGACTAAACATTAACAGCCAGCTCTATATGCAGACTAAACATTAACAGCCAGCTCTATATGCAGACTAAACATCCAGAGCCAACTCTATATGCAGACTAAACATTCAGAGCCAACTCTATATGCAGACTAAACATTCAGAGCCAGCTCTATATGCAGACTAAACATCCAGAGCCAACTCTATATGCAGACTAAACATTCAGAGCCAACTCTATATGCAGACTAAACATTCAGAGCCAACTCTATATGCAGACTAAACATTCAGAGCCAGCTCTATATACAGACTAAACATTAACAGCCAGCTCTATATACAGACTAAACATTAACAGCCAGCTCTATATGCAGACTAAACATCCAGAGCCAGCTCTATATGCAGACTAAACATCCAGAGCCAGCTCTATATACAGACTAAACATTAACAGCCAGCTCTATATGCAGACTAAACATCCAGAGCCAGCTCTATATGCAGACTAAACATCCAGAGCCAGCTCTATATGCAGACTAAACATCCAGAGCCAGCTCTATATACAGACTAAACATCCAGAGCCAGCTCTATATGCAGACTAAACATCCAGAGCCAGCTCTATATGCAGACTAAACATTCACAGCCAGTTCTATATGCAGACTAAACATCCAGAGCCAGCTCTATATGCAGACTAAACATTCACAGCCAGCTCTATATGCAGACTAAACATTCACAGCCAGTTCTATATGCAGACTAAACATTCAGAGCCAACTCTATATGCAGACTAAACATTCAGAGCCAACTCTATATCCAGACTAAACATCCAGAGCCAGCTCTATATGCAGACTAAACATCCAGGGCCAGTTTTAGATGCAGAGCAAACATGTGGACCCAGCTCTAGATGCAAACTAAACATCCAGATTCAGTTTAATATATATTGATTAAAAATTCAGAGCTAGTTCCTAATGCAGACTAAATATCAGCACTCACAGAGCTTACACGAAATTTAAATGTTCATAGTTTTGTTAGCAGAAAAACGTGGCCTGCAGAAAAAGAAAAATCCATACCTCTAAACAAACATAAACCAGAAGCTATATGCTACTTTTGTTTGAGGATCCAATCTTGCCAAGTCTTTTTCCTGCTGTCTTCAACACTGTTAATGAGGCAGCATTATATGTGCCTTTATAAACGATGCAAAACTGACCACTAGAAACTAACATCTTTTAAATTGGATCCCAAGAGTTTGATGAATGAAACTTTAGCTCATAGAAGCTTCAGCTAAATGAGACAAAAGCAATGTGGAAAAAATAGAAGCAGCAAGAACAAACCTAAGAAATCATACTGTGAAACATCTACATAATTATGAGCGGTGGGTCCAAAGTCAGAAAATCTACAGTAATAGTCCTGGTCCAATTAATGTGGTAGTGTGCATCCAGTCACCTTTCATTAAAAAAAAAAACACTTTGTCCAGATGACTCTCATTAAACCTCCATGTTTAAACATTATCCAGTCACAAATCACTAAACCGTTTCAACAGGTAAGTTCAAACTTTTAATGCACTCTCCTCTCAAGTCCATTCCCTATAGACTGCTTTACCCTGCTGGTAATACGGCTAAAGAAATAGCTCTCAATGCATCATTAAACCTGGTGGAGAATTAACTTGGACGGAACTTAATTATGTCACACACGAGGTGCTGCAAGTTCAAGACTTAAAGAACGGCAATATTGCTGGCTAGTGAGCTTAGATGGTTAGTTTAGACACATAATTAGAATCAATCATCCATGTACTCTTAGCATGCTAAGTGAAACATAAAACATTCACAGTGCAAAATGTACAAAAAAGACATGAAAAAAGGATGACCTTGATGTAAAAAAGGTGCACACCAATAAATGTAGAAAAGAACAAAAGAGAAATAAAAGAGAATATGTTGCGTGCAGCACTTTGTCTAGTTGATTTTTTTTTTGGTTTTACCTGTCAAAGCAATAATGCTCATTCCGATGATGATTTGACTTGATCTGACAGCAGAAATTTCAGACGGTGAGTAAACGTTCTACTCTAATGAATAAGGTGGGAACTCTGTGCATGCTGCCAATCCTGCTCAAGTCAGTGCCAGAGCCTTGAGAAATTCCTCACAGCCTAAAACTTGCATTGGGACTTTGGTCCTCTTGTACCGAGATGATACTGTTGAAGTTCAGCAAGCTATTTGTTAGGGTGTCTAGTCTTGGTAGTGGAGCAGTATAAAGTGAAAAATCTTATTGCCAAAAGCAAAGACAAATAAAAACAATTTAAAAAACAATAAAAAGTGGGCAGATTGCTCATCTGTTTGATGGCTATGGTTGCTATGCAGTGATTGGAAGACTAAGAAAATAAGGTACACTATATGAACAAAAGTATTGGGACACACCACTTTATCATTGAATTCAGGTGTTTCATTCAGTCCCATAACCACAGGTGTATAAAATCAAGCACCTAGCCTTGCAGCCTGCCTTTACAAACATTTGTGAAAAAACGGGTCGCTCTAAAGAGCTGAATTCGAGTGTGGTACTGTAAAAGGATGCTGCTGTTACAACAAGTCATTTCACAAAATTTCTTCTCTCCTAGATATTCCACGATCAAGAGTGAGTGTTATTATTGAAAAAAGGAAGTGTAAAGCACGCCGCCACTGGACTCGTAAAACATGGACATGTATTCTGTGGAGTAACGAATCACGCGTCTCTATCTGACAGTCTGATGGACGAGTCTTGTTTTGCCGAATGGCAGGAGAACATTACCTGCCTGACTCTATTGTGCCTACTGTAAAGTTTGGTGGAGGAGGGATGATGCTACGGGGCTGTTTTTCAGGGGTTGGCCTAGGTCCCTTAGTTCCAATGAAGAGAAATCTTAATGCTTCAGCAGACCAAGACATTTTGGACAATGGTATGCTTCCAACTTTTTGGAAACAGTTTGGGGAAGAACCTTTTCTGTTCCAGCATGACTGTGTCCCAGTGCTCAAAGCGAGGTCTATAAAGGCATAGCTGGGTGCGTCTAGTGTGGAAGAACTTGGAAATCTGCAGTGTTACCACCATACCCGTTCCTGAGAAGCTCTCTACTATGATTGAGTTGTACATCACTCTGGAAAAGAGATACAATAAATAAATAAATGCATTAACAGAAAAATGTACCAAACTTGTCACTAGGGTGGCACCCTCAAGGTTACATCTGCAGTACCTTCAGTTAGGGTACATGACTGTTATTATTCCATTGCAGCTATATTTTTTAAGTTATATTGTCTCCATACTCTTTGTCTTGATGCTGGCCCTTTTATTTTAATGTTCTGGTTTAAAACGTATAGTTATAAAAAGGTACAAATATGTACATTTCCCTGAAGGGAATTTTTTTTTAAAGTACACAGTTAGATCTTAAAACCACTGTTGTACCTTTGAGGCTATATTTACATTGTTTGTACCTTGATGAACGAAAAAATGTACCTGCACAGTATCTTTTTTTCTGACAGCATAAGTAAATAAGTAAATAAGCAAGTACTTACGTATGTACATAATAATAATAATAATAATAATAATAATAATAAAAAAATAAATACAAAAATACAACTGACAACTGCACCGTCACGCACTTCCTTTCACAAGACCGTTCCACCCAAAATGCATCCATATGAATAAGCAAGAAGACGTCCCACTGAAAACTCACTTTGGCTCTTACTCCCTCAGCCTCCGAGGCCAATCGAGCCTCCCGGTAATCCATCATACAAA